CAAGAACTGGGGTACAGGTGAGAGGCGCGGGGTGTGAGAATGATCAGAGTTCTGACCCAGTTGGAACAGAAGGAAAGAGGAGACCCTCCCCATCTTCCTAGCACCCCTTGGGCAAACTGCCAGCTGCCCCACCTCAACATTTACCCTTAGGACAACTGTTTGAGTCGTTTCTACTTTGTTCCTACTTAAAAAGAGGGCCGGAGTGGTTCTGGGATAAGGAGCAATCACACTTGTATTCACAGCATCGGCCCCATGACTATTTGTTTTTACATTTAGGAGGTCTTTTGTTTTCTGTTTTCTTAACAAAAGCAACAGAAAAGTTTATTTAGAGACAGGAGAAAAGGGCACTCAGGGAGCGGTTCCAGGGTGGGAAGGGTCCTGTGGGAGAGCAACTGCTCCATTTGGTATTTTTATTGCCTTCTCCCCTGGAAAGATAAGCTCACCAGAGAGGTGGCGCTCGCTGGCATCCACTTCAGCCAGAAATCCAAGAGGACCAGAAGCTAATGTACATGTCTCACCATTTTAAATACTACAGATACTGTTCTAGAATCTACAGCTAAGTGTTTAGCAGCATGGCTCTTCCAGGCTTCAGCCTGGACCCACGGACCTGCTGCAGCTCCAGGGTTTGGGGCTCTGAGACAGGAACTCTGGGGGTCTGCTGTGGGAGCTGGTCTGGGCAGGTTGGCCCAGGTGAGCATCCCCCACACAGCAGGGAAGTCCGCTGCATCTCCATGATGCAGCCCAAAGAGGAGCCAGGGGTCCTATCTGCTCTATGTTACAGGGAAAAGGCAGAAAACAGCCCTCCAAGAGTCTCTCCTATTCTTTTCTTTTCCAAAACTGATGGCAAAATATACACACTTTTTGGAGTCATATTTGATCCAGTTTATCATTCTGGCTCTGCCACTTTTCCAGCTGTGTGATTTTGGGTAATTTACTTAAGCTCTCTGAGCCTCAGCAGCCTCATCTGCAAAATGGGTGTGTGGATATCAGCATTAGATATCAGAGCAAGAAGTCATGACTGAGAATTTAGTGCAGTCAGTGGGCCGGTATCTGTTTAACTGGCTCTCCATGGAGAAAAGCCTGGTATAGAGTGTTTGCCAACAGCCCTGGTGAAAATACTCTCCCCATGGCCTACATCAAGTCACCAACGTGCTGTTGCTGGAGGCAGAGTTGGGAGAGACGGCAGTGGCCTCATGCATTGGGGTTTCCACCCCACAGAGACAGGGGAAGCACATGGCTCAGCACAGAGATGACTGTCACACAGAGTAAAACAATTAGGAAATAGTGAGTCTTTACGACCTTCATTTTTAATGAGACTTTAAATACAATTTCACATAATTAAAATTTTCACGTTGACTGTGTTTAACCAACTCATAAAACTCCCGAAATATTTAAGTCTGCTGTGGCAACCTGGTCCCAGCCAGCTCCAGCACATCAGCAGGGCACATCCATGGGGGTCAGTAATACTGTACCCCCTGTCTTCTTCCTTTCCTTGATCCGGGGGCTATTTTGTGAAGTCTTCCCAGGTAGAGACAAAAATGTTCGCTGTTCCACTGCAGGCTCCAAGTTTTCCTTTAGACCTTGGCCACCATCCCAGGCCTCAGCCTTTGCTAAACCTCAGCCAAGGTCCTACCCTCAGCAGTTCAGCTGACTGACCCTTCAGCTTGAGGAAGCACCAGCAGCAGAGAGGACATTACTTCCGCCAGGTGGAGGTGCCTGCAGAACAGGACAGGCTGGCTAAAGCTGATGGTGGAAACTGTGGGTTATTTAGGATCCCAGTCATGAGGGAAATGGAGAAGCAGGCCCAGCTCTGCACTTTGGCAAGTCTGCGCCTATAATTAGCCTCTGCTTGAGGCTCAAATAAACCCCTAGTTGTTACTAAACAACAGCAAACACAGAAAGAGCTCCAGCTTCCCCGAGCCTAGCACCACACAGCCTCCTAGGACAGACATTTGGACAACACTACCCTAACTGCTGGGCAGCATCCAAATTATCCCCAAAAATACTTCTGTCAAGCTGCAGTGAGACCAGAAGAGGAAAGACATTGAGCAGCCGGCCCCTCACCTCCAAGCAGTCTGCAATTTCTACTTGACTCCTTCAGTAATTGCTCTAGGAGCCCTTATTTATAATGAGTTTGTAATCAACTGGGGAAATGTTACAAATCCACACACTCAGCAAAGCCAAGCAAATGCTGAAAGGATATAGATCGAAATGTGAGCAGTGTTTAAAGGCAGGACTTGGGTGACTGCCTTTTCAGCCATCTTTCTGCTCTCTCAGAACTGTACGACTCTATATATGGCATCCCTATTTCCCCCGCCACCACAAGGTTTGGCTTCGTCTTTTACTCTTTCTGTCCACCTCCTAGGCCCTAAGTTTGTAAAGCAGAAGCAAACATAAAACTCAGCTCTACCGAGTGAAGAATCCAAGCTCAGTGTCCCTCGTCATACACACCCCTTAATATTAGTCATTTTAAAACTTTGCTAAGGGCCTCCCTGGTGGCACAGGCAGTTGAGCGCCGCACTGTAAAGCTGTCTGCAGCCTCTGTAGCACCGGTTCGATCCCAGTCAGCCGGCGAGGGCCCCACATGGCGCAGCAGACCTCTCCTGTCCCACCCGCTGCCCCACTCATCAGTGTATTTCAGTCAGTCTGCCTGTTCTATTCCCTGTTCTGTCTCTGGTGAATCCTCTCACCCTCCCATGCATCTGGCCTGTAACTCATTCTTGTATAAATAAATAAATCTTTAAAAAAAAACAAAACATTGCTAAGAGAGTTCCAAAGACAGCACTAAGGGACGGTTCCAGGTGGGGGACAGGTTGCTCTCCATGGGTTCTTACCAGTGTGCTGACAATTGCAAGACTGCTCCGGCCCAGAGTGCTACTGCAATTGGGTTTATCTAACAAGCAAATTAGGGAAACAAACGAGTTTCTTTTTTTTTTTTTTTTTAATAAATTTTATTGTTATATTCCCCATACAATTGCAGCCCCCCCATTCTGACCCCAATCCCTCCCCTCCCACCCCCGCCCCCCAAAAAGTGTCTCTGGTTCATAGTTTTTTGTTGATTTTGATTTTCACTTTCTTATAGTTATTCATTTTCCTGGTCCCTTATTTAAGTTTTCTAGATTCCTGCTATGAGTGAGACCATCCTGTATTTTTCTTTTTCTTTTTGGCTTATTTCGCTGAGCATGATCCCTTCCAGCGCCATCCATGTTGCTGCAAATTGCATGTGTTTATCTTTTTTGAATGCTGAGTAATATTCCATGGTATATATGTACCACATCTTCTTGATCCAGTCATCTATTTTTGGGCATTTGGGCTGTTTCCAAAGCTTAGCTATTGTAAACAGTGCTGCTATAAACATAGGGGTGCAGGTGTTCTTTGGAATTGATGTTTCTGTGTCCTTTGGGTAAATACCTAGGAGTGGAATTGCTGGATCATATGGAAGCTCTATGTTTAGTAGGTCCAGAAATCTCCACACAGCTTTCCACAGTGGTTGGACCAGTTTGCACTCCCACCAACAGTGCAGAAGAGTTCCTTTTTCTCCACACCCTCGCCAGCATTTGTTGTTGCTAGTTTTTTTAATATGTGCCATTCTCACTGGTGTAAGATGGTATCTCATGGTAGTTTTGATTTGCATTTCCCTGATGGCAAGTGATGTTGAACATTTTTTCATATGCCTGTTGGCCATTTGCATTTCCTCTTCAGAGAAGTTTCTTTTTAGCTCTTCTGCCCATTTTTTGACTGGATTATTTTCTTTGTTGTTGTTGAGTCTGATCAGCTCTTTGCAGATTTTTGTGATCAGTCCTTTATCATTAGTGTTGGGTGCAAAAATGTTCTCCCAGTTGGTGGGGTTTCTCTTTGTTTTTGTTATTGTCTCTTTTGCTGTGCAGAAGCTCTTTAATTTGATGTAGTCCCAGCTGGAAACAAACAAGTTTCTAAAGCCATAACTGGCTCACCCCAAACCATGTCCACAGTGTCCAGTAGTCCTAAGCAAAGACCACTTTCCTTGCAAGATGGAGCCGTCCTGCCAAAGAGGCTAGTCCCTAGCAGCTAGTCCAAGGTGCTGCAGGTCAGTGGGGGCAGGAAACATGTTTCCTTCCCTAACAATAATAGCTTAAAACAGCAATTTGCATTCTTCCTTTAAAGTAACTGTCATTTTATACCTCCAAACTGAAAAGCCATACACACACACACACACACACACACACACACACACACCCAGAGAGAGAGAGAGAGAGAGAGAGAGAGAGAGAGAGATACAGATATATATATATGAAGTTTCTCAGGTTGAGAAAACCACCCCCTAACCCCCCACCTATAAGGGACACTGAGGGAGTTTGGGAACCAAATTTGAAAAAAATCACTCTTCAAGGCTCTGTGAAATCCTGAACTGCAAGCACAATGTGTATGTGCATATGTAAGTTTTGAGGGTGGATGAAATTCTAGAGCTACACTGTCAATACAGCATCATTGGCTACTTTTAAAATTTAAATTAAACAAAAGTAAACATTTGGTCCTCCTGGCCACATTTTGAGTATTAAGTAACCACGTGTAGCTACCATGTTGGACTATGGGGCAGTGGAGGTATGGAGCAGTCCCATCATCACAGAAAGTTCTATGGAATAGCACAGATGTAGAGATTTCATCAGCTTTTCAAAGGCATCCATGAGCAGAAAATATTAAGAGCCATTAAGTCAAACTGATGAGACTTCATTTAAATAGCCAGAAAATTCGCTGAAGTTTTGAAAACTCACCTATGTGGCAGAGGATATAAGCAATATTGCTCCAGAAATCCAACTCTGCAAGCTCTTACAAGACACCATATTTTATGTTTTATTGCTTCTGTCCTCCACGCACACACACTTTTTAGAGAAGGACACTTGACTTCTAAGAATATTTGCTACAAGAAATGTGCTCAGTGTTTCCCAAGGGCTTTCCAGCCATGTAGGCATTGAGGGGAGATGCGTAGTAACCCCATCTTCTCTGGTGTGCAATCCTTCTAGGTGGGTAAAGCCATTTTGGAAAATGCTCGGCTGGCGCTGCAGACAGAGAATACCCAGGCTGGGGCAGATGACTTTAAAGAGAGGTAACAGCCTACAGCAGAGGGGCAGCAGACCCTCTAATGCCACTCGTGGGCAACACGGGTAAAGCTATTGTCTCTGCAACTTCACCTCAACCTCATGGAAAGATGTGGGAGATGCCAGGGATGCCTGGAGCACCCAGAACCAAGAGGGTCAGGCTCAAATCCCCCTTGTGGGTAAAAACTAGACCACAAGGACTGAGAGATTTTACCAGGTGTCACTTGGGTTTAGAGCAGGGTTCTCAACATCTAATGTGCCTCAGACTCAACTGGCGATCTTGTAGAAAACGCAGACAACAGAGCCACCCTCAGTTCCTGATGCAATACGTCTGGGGTGGGACCCAAAATGTGCATTGCTCACAAGCTCCCGATGCTGCTGCTGCTGTCCTCAGACCATGCTTTCAGAATGTTGTAGAGCAAGGACTCTCAATCCAGCTGCATATTAGAATTAACCTGGGCACTTAAAAATACCACGAAGGTGAGTGAGGTTTGGGGAAATGAGGGCTAGTGGAGGAGCAAAATGAAGAAGACTTTTTGATGGATGAACCCAGTATTTTGTGGCTATTTGAGGAAGATGTCCTGGAAGTTGGGCCAATGGCCAGACATTGAGATTGTTATTCCCTAAACTGGTAAAGACAGAGAGGAAAGGTAGGTGGAGTTGAGAGTCTCTGGGCAACGCTGCACCCTGGGGCCATTCTTACCTTAGGATGAGAAGGGGTTTGTGCTGAGAGGAGAATTTCTATCTCAGACCCTATGCCAGTACCTTTCTCTGAGAACAAGCTTCTCTACTTGCTGAAAGGCTATCCATTAGTGGGCACTCTGGAGTCCTGGAGATTCAACCAGCCAGAGCTGCTGTTTTGCCTAGCTCCATGCGAGCCAGCATCACAGGAGCACAAAGAAGTGAAGCCATTGTCCAGCCATTGACACTTCACTGCACAACGAAAGACAGATGCCAGGAGACATGAAATGATTTGCACTAATGTAAGGTAGAATTTAATTAAGTGTGAAATTAGGTAGGACCAGACTGAAATGTCTTCAAACATTCATTCATTTATTTCATAATACATTCTTCAGTCATTCATTCAGATATGCCTTTGACCAGCCACTCAGCAGAGTAAAACGTTAACTCGCTGAAAGCAGGGGCTTGGTCTTTTTGTTCTCCATTGTATCACCAGCATCTGTAACAGTGCCAGCAAGAGATACTCAATAAATATTTGGTGAATGAATGAATAAATAAATGAATGCAACAGATGTTGAAATATCTGCCAGGCCCTTTGCCAAGTGTGGGGAATGGTCCCTGACCTCAAAGAGCTCACAGTTTAGTGGCAAGGGCAGAGAGGTGAGCAGACAAGGCATCCCAGAGCACATGAGCCATCACTGAGATGAGCAGAGAGCGTCAGCCTGGGGACGCAGGGGTGGTGACAAAAGAGGTGATGCCTGATGTGAATCCTAAACTCATGGAGGAATTGACCAGGCAAATATATCAATAAGAGACGTGAATTCCTGGGCAGAGGAATAGTGCACACAAAGGCAGGAAGACAAGAGAAAGCGTGGTGTGTTAGTGGAATTGCAAGCAGTTTTTCTATAAGAGGCATCTGGAGGGAATGAAGGAGAAACAGACCCAGCTTGAAAATCAGGGAGAAAGACCAAATCCTGGAGGATCACTTCAGCCATACCAATAAGTCTGGCAATTAATCTGAACAGAGGAAGGGAATTGAGCAGTGGCTCATCATGACCAGAGTTTAGCTTTAAAAAAAAGCTTTTTGGGCCTCCCTGGTGGCGCAAGGGGTTAAGCACTGCACTATGAAGCAATCCGCAGCCTCTGCAGCACGAGTTCAATCACCCACCCTCCAGGGAGCAACCCATATGGAGCAGCAGACCTCTCCTGACTCACCCGCTGCTCCCCGCAGCAGTATATTTCAGTCAGTCTGCCTGTACTGCTCCCCACTCTGTCTCTGGTGAATCCTCTCACTCCCCGCATCGCTGGCCTATACCCCAGCTCTTGTATGCATAAATAAATAAATCTTTTAAAAAAATAAAATAAAATAAGCTTTGTGTTAGTGGAAAAGAGGGGCAGGGCACATGAGCAAGAAACAATGGGAATGAAGGACAGACCAGAGGAGGGGCAGGTCTGGGTTGGGAGCAGTGGTTGGAAGCAGGATGAGATGCAAGTATTGAGGAGACAGAGGATCACACTTAAGGCCTCTAAGCAAGGAGGTGACTTAATGTGCTTAAGGACAGTGACTCTGGAGCCAATACGGTAGGCTGAGAAGAGTGGGAGGCTGGTAGAGCTCAGGGCCTGGCCAGGATGAGAGCAATGGTGGGAACAGGTGGAAGGGGTACACGTCACTGGAAGGATTTGCATAGACAGCCTGAGAAAGGAAGACAAAGGTCACGTTTCAGGTTTTGAACTTGGGTGATTTAGAAAACTTGCAGTTCTATCAACTGAAATAGAAAGTTGGGGGAGGGGGCAGGGAGAGGGGAAGTTGGTCTAAAACACAGGGGTAAATAATGGGTTTGGTTTTGAAGTGATGGTAGAGCAAGCAAGAGGAAATTGTAGGGTGTCACTAATAATGTTGGGGAAATTCTGGGTGTTATGAGCACAAAGGTACTCACTGAAGACTTCAGAATCTAGGGAGAAGGGAAAGAATATAGCAAGAGAGTTAAAAAGCTTAACAGCAGCCTTGGAGATTATCACAAAGACATCTCAAATCTTTAGTGAACTTCTAAAACAATGGTCTATAGGGGACTTAAGACCTCCCTAATCCTGCATGGAGCATGTCCCAAAAGGGACCAGGCTCCCAGGAGAGGTGAGCAAAACAGGACTGCAGAGGGCATGACCCTCCTGCAGTGCTGCAGTGTGGGTCAGCAGCCCAATCCCAGGGATGGAGGTGGGTTTTCACTTCAATTGGAAGGGTAGGACATGCTTCTAAAAGAAGTAGGTGTTAATAAGAATACAGTCAACATAAAGAATATACCTAGGTAGAAAATTTATTCTAAATATAATGTATGGAAAAATGCCCATGTGTTAACTCAAAGGTGCAGGCCCAACTTGAGGAAGGCTCTGGTAGCATGCCACAGCAGTCTGCCCTCTGTCCCTTCACTCATTATCTTCAGGTGCTAGGCACATGAAAGCAGGTATGTCAAAATGGCAGGAGATGCAAAGCGAGGGAATTGCTGGTAAGTAGAATGTCAGAATCAGGATTCAAAAAGATTCCATTGGAACAATGGGCTAATGAAATTGAAAGAGGGTAAGCCCCAACTGTAGGGTTCAAGTACCAGGTGCCCCTAGAAAGGACCAAGAAACTGGGCTTCAAGCCACTCTTGCAAAAATGCTCGGGGGGTGGGGGAGCCTCCCTGATGGTGCAAGAGGTTAAGCACTGCAGTGTGAAGCAATCCAAAGGCTCTGCAGCATGAATTTGATCCCCAGCCTGCCAGGGAGCAGCCCACATGGCAAAGCAGACCTCTCCTGACTCACCCGCTGCTCCCCTCAGCAGTGTATTTCGGTTAATCTGCCTGTTCTGTTCCCCACTCTGTCTCTGGTGAATCCTCTCACCCACCCCCAGATCTCTGGCCTATACCCCAGCTCTTGTATGCATAAATAAATAAATCTTAAAAAAAAAATACTCAGGGGTTCCAGTTGACAAGAATATTAGTCAGCAGCAAAAACAGCTGGTCAAAATCAAATGACCAAACATACAATCAAGCAAAAACCAACAAAGTGAATCTTAGGGCCCACAATAAATAAAATTAAAAGAGCAAACTGTACCACAAGACTCTAAACTGATCAGGCAACATCTGGAGTTTTGCATTCTGCTCTCTGTGCCACATTTGAAGGAACTGGAGCATTTCTACTCATTCTGCAAATATATCTTAAGCAAGGAGCTAGATGCTAAAAATACAAAGATAGAAAGGTCACAGTCCCTGCTCTCAATGATGAAGGAAATGGAAACTAATTTACATGAAGAAAAGAGGAACGAACTGGGGATGTTTAACCTAAGGAAGAAAAGGCTTGAAGCAGGATTGGTGGGAAGGATGAAGAAGGGAGACTGGAAAGCAGCATAGAGAACAGTCTCTAAATATTTGCAAGGCTGTCAGCAGAAGGGATTAGACTGACTTTGGGTGGAACTCTCAGATTCTCACAGACAGCTATGGAGAAATGAAAGAAATTTGCAATAGCTAGAGCTGAGCAAAAGCAGAATGTGGCCTTGGGAGGTGATGAGTTCCCCATCACTGGAAGTGTTTAAGCAGAAGCTATACACCAAGAATTCTACCAAGGAATTATTACTAAGTAGGTGTTACAATAGTTGAATGTTAAAATCCCTTGAAATCCTAAGGCCCTAAAGATGCCCTGTGGAATGGTGCTGTGAGATTTCTCACCTTCTATGGATGGGAGTGCAGTCACAGTCCCAAATTTCACAAGGGCTCTTTGGAGACAGAACCATATCTTTCGCTAGTACCTAGTCTGATACTTTGCAGGTTCTCAACTTTGTTAAAGCATCCTCAGGTTAATGGGATGACAAATCAGAATGATGATGATCAGACCCCCTACCTGGATCTGAACTCCTGGGGGAGCTCTCCCTAGAGGTCTATGCTTCCCATGTCCCATGAGGTTGGCACCCATGAAGCCAGGTCATCAGAAGTTGGCTGCCATCTCTTTCACTTTCATAAATCAACATGTAACTATTGCACTAATAGGGCCCTCAAAGCTGTTGAAACAGTGACTTTCAGCATTCATTGTCTATCACATAATTGGTCTTTTGGTAACATTTATCTATCATCTGATTTCTTTTTCTTTGGGGTTACCCAGCTATGCTGATTAAGTTCCTTTCTCTGCAGATATAAAAATGAGCAGCCATTTCAAAAAGCAGCAGAAGAGAGGAAATGAACTCCCTGTACGAATTCATTGATGAAGCTAACTTGACAAAAACGGATCTGGAGAATCAAACAGAAAGCCTGAAAGAAGAACTTGGCTTCCTGTCTAGGAGCTATGAAGAGGTAGGCGGGATGTGCAGTGGGGCTGGTTGGCTACGAGACCAGAGACTGTCATTTGCCTGACTGAGCTTTACCACATGGGTGAGCTCATCTTGGTCTCAGCACTTTGCTTGCCCAGGGCTGCACGAAAAATGCCAGAGAAATATTTCCAAACCCTTGCAGTCTATCAGATTACCCTGGGAGTCCCAAACTCAACTGACTTCAGGACCCAACTCCTACGTAAGTGGGGAGGCAGCAGGTCCAAAATGGTGAGCGATGGAGCCCAAGTGGAATTGGAGGGAACATTCGCTACCTCAAGGCCTTGTATTTCAGGTTTTGTTGCTGTTGCTTCAACACAATATAAGACAAAGAAATAACTCTGAGGTTAAGCCAGGCTATGGTTTACATACACTTGTCAGTAAAATTAGTCAAAGCATCTAGTGATGAGATTGAACAGGATTTTAACTGCAACGTGACCCAGTTCTGCAGAATTGCACTCATTCTAAACCACCTCACATGTGTCAGCATCTGAGCTGACAGCTTAGTCTTTCAGTTGAAAAAGTCAAAACCATGCCTCACTGGTGGCATAGGAGCTAAAGAAAGCGCTATCAAGCTATCACCAGCCACTGAAGCATGAGTTCGATCCCTGGCCAGGGAAATACCCACATGGTGCAGCAGACCTCTCCTGCCTCACCCACTGCTCGCCCCAGCAGTGTATTTTAGCCAATCTGCCTGTTCTGTTCCCCACTCTGTCTCTGGTGAATCCTCTCGCCCCACACCTCTGGCTTACACTGCATTTCTTGTATGCATAAATAAATAAATCTTGAAAAGAAAAAGTCAAAACCTACTTAGCGATGCTCACGTCTGGAAGTCCCTCCTTTGTCCAACCTTATGCTAACCAAGAACCAATAAGCCCACTTCCTCCTCTTCTTACCTCAGTCACCAGTTTCCAAAAGGCAAAGTTATCTTTAAATCTCTCTCAGTCTATTCTGACTTTATGAAATTCATAAATTTCATCTTGCTGTTGTTGCTTGCTCTGTTGCTGTTGTTGTTTCATTCTTTATTTATTTTGATTTTTGCTTTGGGAGGGCCAACGCTGGTGAAAACCTGCTTAAGAATGTATGCTTGGGAAAAGAAAATATGGCATCTCTGCTGAGAGGAGGCTTGGGGACATTTCTATTTTCTCTGAAGCCCCATGTCTGGAAGTAGCAGAATGAGAAGTGGAGGTATCACCCGCAGAATGGGGCTTAGAACCTGCCTTTTCTTTCTCCCTTGGGACTCACCTGAGGTGTATATTGTCATTTCCAGGATGTGAAAATGCTGTGTAAACAGCTGACAGGATCTGAGCTGCAGCAAATGGATGCTCCCATTAGCGCTAGTCTGGATGACATCCTAGAGACCAACAGAATTCACTGGGAGAGAGACATTGAAAAGAAGCGGGCAGAGACAGGAGGCTTCCTCCAAACCAAGGTGAGAGGCAGGCCCTGCACCCTCCACTCTGCCCTTGCAGAAGGAGGCCAAACAAAGAGAAATTGCACACAAAGAAATGCAATCATTTCAATCTCATGGCACATAAAAGAAATACAAATTAAAATAAGGATTTTCATTTACCTGTCTATAAGCAGAAAATGTTTTAAATGACAATACTCAACACCGGTGTGTATGTGGCAAAGCAGATTCTCTACCGTATTCTTGGGGAGTACAAAATAATACAATGTCTTGAGTCAGGGGTTGGGGAGTAGGTATTGAGAGTCTTAAATTGCTCCAATCTTCCATTTAAATAATCTGGACTCTACCCCTCAAGAAATAACTGAGAATACAGCTGAACTTTACAATCAAATATGCTCATTGAGCATTTGTTATAAGAGCGAAAAAATAGGAGAAAGACGAAACTACAATCTAACCGTGTAATGATGTATCAGGCAGTTATTAGAACTGACAAGTGTGAAGCATTTCTAGCAAGGGGAAATGCTCACATTATAAGGTAACAAGAGGGTAGGGAGAGAGTCAGAATGGCATAGTGCAGGAGCTAACAAACTTTTTCTGTGAAGGACCAGATAGTAAATTGTTAGGTTCCCTGGCCAGATGGTTTCTCTTGTAGCTTCTCAGCTCTGCCACTATAGTGCAAAAGCAACACAGACAATGGGGTAAATGAGCATGGCTGTGTTCCAATAAATCTTTATTTAAGAAACAAAATGTGGTCTGGATTTGGTCTGCCAGCTGCATTCTGCCGAACCCTGGGATAGACAGAAGGGTAAAGTCTTCAAACAAAGAAAGTAGGCATCAAGAAAGGATAGATAAGAAAACACTAAATATTAATGGTGTTAATGTTACAGGGCAGGGAAAGGGGCACTTCAGACCCCGCAAACCTGCCTGCTCTAAATAGGTTCTGCCATCCGCCGCATCAACACAAAACATATGAGACTTTAAAGAAAAGGAACTTTAAGACAATTAGTAAACAATACAGGAAAGACAAAGAATATAGTTTCTAAATCAAGCACCCAGTTACCCGTCCCCTCGTGGGTAAAAGTCCACCAAAGCAGGATTGGCCCAGAGCAAGGCCCCGAAGCCTGCCACAAGTCTAAAGCATCTTCCAGTGGGGACCCACAGAAAAGGATCAGAAACAACCAGACAAGTCTGGAAGGTAAAGAGCAAAATCAAAATCAAGACAAAACCACCATTGTCGCCTCCCCACGAGTCTCACCCACATCTGTGTCACCCAGTCCATGACCAAAAGGCAAGCGCAGTTTCTTCATGTGTCTCTCTGCTCCATGTGCCTCCTGCAGGTCTCCTTCTGGCTCCATCCTACTTCCTTCCTTCCTCTGTCTCTTCTCCAGCTTCTTCCCTGCTTAGCTCCATGCGCTTTGGGTGGGGCAGGGAAACTGGAACCTCCCCCTTTCCTGGGGACCACCCTGTAACATTAGCAGTAGTGGTCTTCAGTGACAGATAGCTGACACTTGGAGATTTTTTTCTTGTTTCTCAAGTTTTCCTTAAGTAGTGTAAATTATATTCATGAAGGAAAATCTTTTATTAAACCTCATAAATAGTAAAGGAATTAACCAGAAAATAGGATGCATGGGGCTGGTTCCTCGCGTCTTCATTTCCCAGCCAATCATGACTTCGAAATTTTTGAGGTAGAGGGAGAAGGAAAGCATGAAGTAAGTGGGAAGATATGTCTAAAAGTTCAGAAGCCTGTTCCTTGGTTACTATTTAGTAGCTGCACAGCAGAATAATTTCAGTAAATTTTCTTTTAAAAAAAAAAAAGATTTATTTATTTGTGCATATAAGAACTGGAGTGTTAGCCAGAGGTATGGGGGGTGAGAGAATTCACCAGAGAGATTGGGGAGCAAAACGGGCAGATCCACTGAAATACACTGCTGAGGGGAGCAGCAGGTGAGATAGGAGAGGTCTGCTGCACCATGTGGGTAGCTCCCTGGCCCTCAGGGGATAGAACTCATGGTGCAGTGGCTGGCAATAGCTTGAGAGTGCTGTCTAACCTCTGCGCCACCAGGGAGGCCCCAATTTCAGTACATTTTCAAAAATGCCCAGATACAGACTCCACACAAGACCAGTGAAATTAGAAGGAGGAAAGGGACTTGGTGTTTTGCTTTGTTTGTAAGTTCTGTGGATGGTTCCAATTCACAGCTAGGGTTAAGATCCACATGAGTTTATAAAAGCTACCAGAAGGAAAACAGAAGGGCCTTTTATGTTCTTTCTTCTACAAAAGACTCCACCTTCTGCCCCCCCAAGTATAAACAGGAATCTTCCCAGCAGGGCCTTTTACCAATTCTGGATTTCCCAGTGTTCTCCAGCCCAGGAGAACATCTTTCACACACACACACCCCCCCCATTTCTCCACCCTCTACTCCCTTCAAAGACCTCTAACCTTCAATTCCTTGGAGCATGTCATTAATCAGCACTTTTTATGGGCAAATCATAGCTAGTAACTTCACAAAATGCAGCTACACCCAACCCCGACCTGCTGAGAAATGAAACAACACAAAAAGAAAAGGAGGCCAAATCATAGATCTGATTTTTGGTTCATTGCATCTTTTTAGGAGACTCATGAATATTTCCAAGAAATGAGCCCAGAGACCATCCAGCCCGGTTCCCTCACTTTAGAGGTGAGGACACTGAGCCCCAGAGAGGGCAGCTGACTTCCTGAGGTCACGAGCTGGTTGTGCTATTGCTCAGCTCTCGGGCTTAGTCCAGGGACCTTTTCTTCACTCTGGACTGTCATTCCTCCTGGGCTCTGTTCCCAAAGCTCAATCTCAGGAGCCCAACAGTTTGCAACTTTTCTTCTGTTCCAACACTCTTGAGGTGTACACTACATTATAGAGATTATTTCTTTGGAAAAGGGCTGGACCAATATAATTAACAGAACTAAATCATGCAGAATGTGAAAAAGAAAAAAAAACCTAGTTATTATGATTCATCCCCTCCCCTCTTGAGAATCATCACCAGTCCAACTGTAATTCTGAACAGATTCATTAGTGTTTGTTTTTTTAATAGAGTGATCTGAAAGCTACATCTCAGTGAAAACAGACAGCACTTGTTTTAGTTTGGCCAGTGTTGCCTGGGCCTCATGCAGAGAGGAGGAGCTCAGAAAATATTTGCAGAGTGAGTGAATTCCTCTGATCATCAGCAGGAATCAAAACTGACAGCCAGCCAGAAGTCCTCCAATAAATAGTTTTGTCAGTTGCAGTCATGCCCTTAGGGGCTGACATTTGCCCATCCCAAGCATCTGAGCATCTCCTTCTGCATCTTTCTGTGGCCACAGCACACAATGCTTTCGAAACCTTTTGCAGAGAGAATACAAACATGCATTTAATTACCTTTCAGACCAGGGAGGCTGGAAATTAATTGACATGATTCATTTATGTCTTTGTTTAGGTTTTCCCCAGAAACAGATCCTGATACAAATATTGAAGTAGAAATATTGATTTAGATTTGTGGGGGGAAAACAAAATAGTGGTAAATGGATAAGCAGAGAAGCGAACCAAGAAAGAACGCAATATCCATGCAGCTACCACTGTGGGAAACTAAAGGGTACACCCGCAAGGGTTCTGGACAATGATACAGGACATGGGGAAAGAGCAGGAAGCCAGGATAGTGAGACCATCTCCCATTAATCCTCTGCCATCTGCTAGCAGAGTGGCTTTCAAAGACTTCAGAGAAAGCTCTCAGGCAAGAAGGTGTAGAATCTCCCCTATGTGTATAGCAGCACTATTTACAACAGCTAAGCTATGGAAACAACCCAAATGCCCAAAAATAGATGACTGGATCAAGAAGATGTGGTACATATACACCATGGAATATTACTCAGCAATCAAAAAAGATAAACACATGCAGGGCCTCCCCGGTGGCGCAGCGGTTGAGCACTGGGTTGCGAGGCTGCGGGCAGCCTCTGCGGCGCCAGTTCAATCCCCAGCTGCTCGCCGGCCACCAAAAGAGGGTCCCACATGGCGCGCAGACCTCTCCTGCCGCCCGCTGCTCCCCTCAGCAGTGTGCTTCGGTCCTTCTGCCTGCTCTGCTCCCCGCTCTGGCTCTGGTGAATTCTCTCACCCTCCCGCACTTCTGACTGTACCCAGTGCTTGTATGTATAAATAAATAAATAAATAAATCTTAAAAAAAAAAAAATTCCTTATAAAAAAAAAAAAGATAAACACATGCAATTTGCAGCAACATGGATGGAGCTGGAAGGGATCATGCTCAGCGAAATAAGCCAGAAAGAAAAAGAAAAATACCGGATGGTCTCACTCATAGCAGGAATCTAGAAAACCTAAATAAGAGACCAGGAAAAAGACTAATTATAATAAAGTAAAAATCAAAATCAACAAGCAACTATAAACCAGAGACACACTATGGGGGGAGGGGGAGTAGGATCAAAACAAGAGGGGTGGGAATTGTATGGGAGCTATAACCAAGATGAAAATGCATACATCGTGCAAAAATGAAAAATGATGTAAAAAATGTATAAAATAAAAAATTAGATACTTTAAAAAAAAAGAAGGTGCAGAATCTTGCAGTGGGGAGAAGACTGGGGAGAAATAATGTGCTGTGGCCTAAGGGATGAAGGTGGAAACCATCAGCACCTGCACCTACCTGTCAATTCTTATTTGTTCATCATTAAAAGCTTATAAAGAGGTTCTGGATGGATGCAGTAACCATATTCTTTCCAGCCTTGGAGAACCTGAGGTCTAGTTTTTGGAGCTTCTCAAGTTGCATGATTCAGTGATGGGAGATCAGGTTGGTCCAGAGAATTTTGGAGCATCTAAAAGTCTGGCCCACCTTTTTCTATTTTGTTGGGGTTAACCCAACTCAAGTATGTGGAGATGTTTTGGGAACCTCAGACAGTACGCCATGTCACACTCCCGACCTGGCTAACCGTGGAACACAGTCCCCAAGTCACAATCAATAGGACTTTGAAAAAGTCACCCCAGGGGATGCTGCAGGACTCTGTCATTGGCCTGTTCCCTAGAGTCATGTGAGGAGACATTTCCATTCTGTCAAGTGACAAACAGAAAACAGAGTCCCAAGGGCAGGTGTGCTCCATTCTGACATTGGCTGGAACAAGACCTCTCAGTGCCCTTCTTACCTAAAACTTTTGGGAATGTGCACCCCATCAGCCACTGTTTAAAGACCTAAAATTCAAAAGTAAAATTGATAACCCACTGAGGGCCTTTGTGCTGGCCAGAAGTTTGATATCCTTTCTACTCCTTCAATTCTCATCATAGTCTCAAAATAGAACTATTGTGGACCTCCCCAGTGGCTCAGCGGGTTGAATGCAGTGGTGTGAAGCTGTCCGCAGCCTCTGCAGCATGGCTTCACGATTCCCAGCCAGCCAGAGAGATACCCACATGGCGCAGCAGACCTCTCCTGTCTCGCCCGCTGCTCCCCTCAGCAGTGTCCTCGGTCGTCTGACTGTTTTGCTCTCTGCTCTGTCTCTGGTGAATTTTCTCACCCTCCCACACATCTGGCTTGTACCCTGGTTCTTATATAAATAGATAAATCTTTTTTTAAAAAGCTATTTAATATATATATATATATATATATATATATATAAAACTATTGTTAGACACATTTTACAGATGCATTTATTGTTGCCAGGGAGGGAGCAGGGGAGCCAAGGAGTTGAGATTTCTAGCTTCCCTGCAACCAAGCTCTTCCCCTAAGTTTTGCTTTCATAGAACACCCATATCTTTCATTTCAAATATCTTTTACCAACCAACAGGAAATGATGTTCTGGGTAGCCAAAAATACACTTTCAAGAATATTATATAGTTATTGTGCTTTAAGTTGGTGACAATCCATTCCGGTAAATATAAGCATATGTTCCTGACCTCTTCCTGGAAACAGACCTCTGACAGGCGAAGGGCTTCCAGAATTTCTGACGGAAGCTACTTGGGACTCAAAAAGTTGATCTTTCCCACTTTAGTTTTGTCCATTGTTGGGATTGGAGCCCCCCAGGTAGCGAGGCATATTTGTTTTCTGTTGCTTTGTAACCTGTTATTGCAAACTTAGTGGCTTAAAGGAGTATGCACTGATTACCTCCATTTCCATGGTCAGTATTCCAGGCCAGGTTTCAGGTGGCCCCTCCTCTGAAGGTCTCTGGAGGCTGCAGCGGACCAGCCTGGCTGGTCCATCCAGGTTGTGCCAGGATTCTGTTCCTTACAGCTGCAGGACCCAGGCCCTCACCTCCCAGTCTCCCTCCTCCCCACCACAGGCAGTTCTCAGCAGGGCTATCTGCATCTCCAAGACCAGGGAAGACCTCTTTTTATCTTTTTTAAATTATTTTATTGCGGTAATGTTGACTTACACACTTATGTTTTAAGAGTACTGGTCCAGGGGGCCTCCCCGGTGGCGCAGCGGTTGAACACTGGGTTGTGAAGCTGCCCGCAGCTTCTGTGGTGCTGGTTCGATTCCCGACCACCCGGGTGAGGGTCCCACATGGCGCGCAGACCTCCCCTGCTGCCCACTGCTCCCCTCAGCAGTGTACTTCGGTCCTTCTGCCTATTCTGCCCACCCCCCCAACCCCGCTCTGGCTCTGGTGAATTCTCTCACCCTCCCGTGCTTGTAACTGTGCCCAGTGCTTGTATAAACAAACAAACAAACAAATAAATAAAAGAAAATCACTAAAGAGCTCTGTTCCATTAGCGCAAAGATCACATTAAAAAAAAAAAAAAAAGAGTACAGGTCTCTACCTTTTCAACGGTATGTAGGTCTTCTAGGAGTTTAAGTTTCTTTCAAAGTTCCAGCCTGATTTAGTCAGGCCCACCCAGTGTGCTCTGCCTTTCCATCAACTCAAAATTAGCTGATTTGACATCTTCATTACATTGGCAAAAATCCACCAACTTTACATAGTATGCAACCCAATCACTGCAGACTCCTGGGGCAAGGGACCTCCCTGGGGGCACAGGGGTTGAAGACAGTGCTATGAAGCTATCCGCAGCCACTGCAGCAGTTCGATCCCTGGCCGGCCAGGGAGCAACCTATATGGCACAGCAGACCTCTTCTGTCTCTCCTGCTGCTCCCCTGAGCAGTGTATTTCAGACAGTCTGCCTGTTTTGCGACCCACTCTGTCTCTGGTGAATCCTCTCACCACCCCACCCCCACACCTCTGGCCTGCACCCTAGTTCTTGTATGCATAAATAAATCTTTTAAAAAGAGAGAGATTGTGGAGCTCCTCTTAGATTCCTGGGCCACACACTGGGCACCCAGTATTGAAGCAGATTGCTGCCTGAGTGGTCTCCTCTGCCAGGCGGATAGAGGCTTCAGCTCACCTCCCCCGAGGGGAACCCAGATCCTCTCTCCTTGTCTAGAGCCTCAGCCTGGGCGCTCAGAGGCTTGGCTTCCTCCCCTCAACCTGGCCAGTAGTCTGCTCCCAGCCAGGCAAGCTATTTTACCTGCTATGTCCCCTCCCACAAAGGCTCCTCACCTTTGTTCCCAGAAGCTTTCTGTCTGTTGCTTGTTCACTGCACTGGATGGTAAGTAACATAGCCGAAGGCTGTTTGATCACTAGCACAAGCTGGTGGGGTGGAGTGGCTTGGGGGACACAAATGAGAGACAACTCAGTCCCCTCTTATAGTCCCTAGAGGCCAGCAACTACATAACAAATAGATTG